TGAATGAAGAGGTGGTCGAGAGTCCCGATGCGACCAAAGGGCTCAAGCAGTCTGAATGTCAGCCACTCTTTATGGCCGCATATCGGCGAAGATCTGCCGGCGCTGTCATTCACGCGCACTCTATGGACGCAGTCTTAGCCACTCTTATCAGCGGTTCCAATGAGTTCCGGATTACACACCAGGAGATGATCAAAGGCATCAAAAAGGGCTCAACCAATGAGAGTCATCGATACGATGACACTCTTGTGGTGCCTATCATTGAAAACACAGCCTTCGAGAGGGACTTAACGGACAGAATGATTGAGGCGATGGACAGATATCCGGACACTAATGCGGTTCTCGTGCGAAGACATGGGGTCTATGTTTGGGGACAGACGTGGAAAAGCGCTAAAACTATGGCTGAATGCTATGACTATCTCTTTAAAGTTGCCGTTCGTATGAAGACATTGGGTTTGGATCCGTCTGCTAAGCCTTAGCCCCCAATGATTGCCATCAAAAGTCTTAAGAACTCAATGAATGATAATTAAAATAATTTGCTCTCAATTTCAAAGATACTCTTCAATTGAAACTCTATTTTAATGATTGATTTATCATATGTTTGGACCACTTATGGAGAACTCGTCCGCAATATAGTGAATGAGTTCTCAATAATAGGTCTTTTCATTAATTAAAGTCTCATTTATTATCAAATTTCGATTCTGTTATCGTATACAAAGTTGCTCTCAATTCACATACTATTTGATAACCACTTAATCTCTCTCTAAAACAACTTTTAGTCAAAACCGTTATTAAGTTTCTCTAATATCTTAGAAAAATTGTTTCAATGGTTTGAACACAATTGACATACAATTAGACAGTTTTAGTTCAATTCATATCTCATTACTTAATAGAAACGAATAAATATTTAATGAGAAAAAATATATTTTAAAATTTAATTCTCGCTTTAAAAATGCGGACCAATTCTATGATAAGTTACTGGAAATTGAGGTCTAATTTGTCGATCAAATCCATCAAAACTTATCGCACAATAAAGGCGTGACTTTATGTAAATTCAAGGCTAACTAACCATTCATTCACATCAAACATAAATACTCTATTGATTTGAATTAAATTGCTTTACATTTTATATTAAATATTATTTTGTTTTAAGTTTTAAATTATCATTAACTTTACAATCTTAAGGAAACATGTTTTGCGGACAGAAATTAGGCCTCAATTACAAGACATTAGATCTGAAGGTTCCCTCTTTAGAAGAGGTGAGTCGTGTACTCCGCGATGGCTTAACGCCCTTCTTCGAGACTGTGGACGTATCTGTAGTGGACTGTCCAGACCTACGACAACCACCCTTTCATTTGGCCCAAAGAGGTCTTAGTGGCGATGAGAAGGTTGCGGACATCGGAGGTGTGCCTTATTTGGTGCCATTGGTTCAAAGAGACAAATACTATTCCCTTAAAGACATTGCGAGTGTTATGGAAATGGATGACAATGCCTTCCTCATTGGTGCCGGTGCCGGACCGCACAGGGAGGTCGGAGTCAATTGCGAACTAATGCCTAACATCTGGTTTGAAGACAAACAGACAAAGATTAATAACAGAACACATATCGCAAAGGTTTGAGTGCTTCTCAATTCATGTGATTTTATTACAAAAATAAGTTTTTCATTTTCAGATATTATCTTATTTGTGAAATGCAGTACTTTTTAGTAATTTTTTATACTTTTTCGAAGTATCGCTTTGAATACTTTTTATTTGCCTTCAAATTCAATGTCAAGTGTACTTTTGAGACTCACATCATAAGTTTTATACATTTTATTAATAATTAACTAAATGTTTGAATATTTTGTTTTCTCTATGCTATAGTATTGATACAGTAATTTTGGTTATACAATATTAAATTTTACAGCTAATATAGAAATATATAATTAGGTAATATATATAATTACAAAATTAGTCTCATTATTTGGCAAATATTTATACATTATTAAAATCAGTATTTAAACTTAAAACATTAGACGAGTTATGTTAGTTTTATGGTTTGAAAGTTCTCAATAGACTAAATTAGTTATAGTAAAGAGCAATATTTTTAGGTCAAGTCATGTGTTTTAACTTAAATACCTTTAGGACTTGTATTATTGTACAGAATACTCAATAAATTTAATATTTAGTCGATATATTGTATAACTTAAGATTTACTCACATTGTCCCGTTAATATATTAAATGTTACTTTACTTAAATCTATTTATTTATTTATAAATTGTATTTGATGTCTTATATTTTAAATTCTGCCAATGGTTTTAATTATTAGTTAAAGTATTAATGAATACATTTTTGCTTTTATGTTGAAGTAAAAATAAAACTCAAAAATATTAATTTAATTGAAAGTATTTAAAGGGATCAATAAAAGAGATTAACAGTTGGTTTGAATGGAGATAATGATAGGTTTCTATTGATTACATGATTGTTAGAAATGATGAGAAACTCATTGAATGGTTGTCTGTAATGATTCCCATAGAGAATGACATTCATCTGTGTTTGACATTCACTCCAATTAAGTCGACATTAATTGCATTTAATTAATATATAATATATTCAATCGTTTATCGCATTTCTTTGATGTTTGAGACGTTGAACTCATTTTAATGGTTTGAAAATGAATTATATGTTTGGTTCACAGTTTGAAGAATCCTTTAAATTCTTTTGAAAATAATTTTCGTTTTGATTCAAATTTGGGTCAATTGATTGAAATCGTTTCAAACGAAACGTTTAATTATTAATATATTTTCAATATTTTTAAATTCTTTGATTTCGTATTCAAATGAAATTAATTTTATTTGAGATTCAATTTATGATTATTGATATGGAATTTGATTTATAGGTTGACGAAAGGGGTGGCTGTCAGCTATCATTAGCCCAGACCACAGATTTCGGACTTTTAGCCAATTTGTTCGCATCGCAAGGAAAACCAGGAAAAGTACTCAAAGTCTATGTGAAAAAGAGAATCGGATCCGAAAACTTTGTCACAACTATGAGACAAATCCTGAATCAACATTACGGCAATAGAGCTGTCAGTTTGGGAGGCGTCTTCCTATTGAGAGGGGGTTCCGCTAAACTCCATATTATGCCCGACTTTAGCAAAACTCCACTCAATTCGGATGAAGACGTGAATAATTGGCTAAACTTTTATTCAATGGATTCACCGCTCATTTGTTTAAGTGTTTTCCATTCATATGACCCGGACTTAGACCTGCGTATTGAACACACCCACTGTTTCAGTGACCACAACCAGGGGGGACACTATCACTACGACACTACTCCCGATCATATTGAGTACGTCTTTTTAGTCCAAATATACATATTTAAGATGCACTTATGATATAGTTATTTACAAAAACAATCCTTAGATAACTATTTATCTTAATAACATAAGTACCATCATAGTTTTATAATTTTTAGATATTCTTAAATTACTGAAAGTTTCATTATAGCTGAATATATTATAGTGAATACGTTTCATTAGAAATAAAAATAAAATGACAGCATTTTAACAATAAGAATTATTATTTTATTTATTAAACTTTAAAAATAGTTTTAACAAAATATTTGTCATTTATAGATATGAAGGATATTTCAATTTAGCGAAACAGATATACCGAATCGATGCCCCCATTACTACACATAATATTGGACGGGATTAAGATTTGAAGATAAAAAAGACATCCAGAAAAGTAAATAATTTTTAAAAGTATAGCACAATTAAGTAACACAAAGACTCTTACAAATACTGTTTCAAATGTTGTATTCTAGTGATTGTATTTTAAGAATTGCCAAAATATAAGCATTTTCTGGTTTAATGTGTAATAAATAGATGTGATCTTCAATTGGTTTCTAATAAATGTTAAGGAGTTTAAAGGTTTTATGATCTCTTAAGGGATCGTAAGCTATATTTGACAAAAGGTAGTTTAAAATACGATAATAATCATAGAGTTTGACAACATTTGAAGACATTTAACAAAAGAGTTTTCATAAAATTAATTATAACTAATGATACAAATAAAATGATATAAAATGAATGTATGAATTGAGATGAATTGTATCACAATTTTTAAAATCTTAAAATATATTTTCTTCTAAATTAAAGTATATTTACACAAAAATTGTTTTAATTATTTACTGAAGTTTTTACGGTAATTTGCTATTGTTTGCCAAAAACATGATATATATTCCAATTAAATGAATTAAATATACATTTTTGACGACAATTCTTCCATTAATTTATATGAATTAGTCTTCAAATCCGTCATCTCTTCATATTTCTGAAGCCTTTCTAAAAGAAAATTCATTCAATAATATTTCAAATCATGTTTTGTAGCATAAGTTTACTTCTTTAGGATATAAATCAAATAATTAATGAATTTTTGAAATAGAGATTCACTGCAAGTGTTTAATGAAAATACAAATCTTTGGATTAATATAATGATTGACTCAAATTGTAATCGAAAATCGATTTGATAATTTGTAACTTATTGTATAATGTCCTTAAACTTAACGATAAATGATTTATCTGAACACAACTACTGTGTCGACAGTCTCTGTTTGGTGGGCACAACAGCATTGAGTAGTAGTCGAGTAGTCAGTCAACGGCACCGACTGTTTATGAGACGGTGGCGATGTGTACGGCCGAGACGGTCGGCATTTGTAGGTAATAAGGGTTTTCATTGATACCACTAATACACGTGCATTTCGATGACATCTTCTTAGGAATATTCCGCAATCGTATGAATAGAAAGGCTGTCACTAAACAGGAAAGGATTAGGAGGAGGAATAGGAGTACGAGTCCTGCAGTGAATCCTGTGGTTGAGATGCAAATCAAATTCTCATTCTTTGAGATTCGATTCGATGACACATTGTCCACAAAAGTGGTCTCATTATCACCGGTCAGCGGCAGAGTGAAGGCCACGTCTCCCGGAGCCACCACTTGAATGATTCGTTGCGTTTGGATGTCTTTCATTTGAACCGTTTGTCGCTTTTTCCTTGAATCCAATTTCAAAGACCGGGGCATTCCTCCGGTGCCGGCAATACTGTAATCTCGGGTGACATTAGGTTTAGGCACTATCTGTGCATTCTTTGGGAGGACTGTAGGCGCGATCTCTCCCTTTCTGTTGAGGAATTGTGAACCCATATTAGGTTTAGGACCGTTAGGTGCCTTATGGCCGACGACCGCATAGTTGGGTTTGCTTTCACTAAACTGGAGGGACTGGTCGCGCGGCGCCGGCGAGTACTCAGCGGTGGTGTCGCCATCACAGGTGGGCTCCGGACACTCGAAGCGACAAACTTGGATAACACACTGGAAGTGGACATTCATAGAGTCGGGGAATTTGAAGGCCTGGAAGTAGGCGTACGACACAACTGTCGCCGAATGACCGAAATTCTTGACCTTTTGGAAGCGCGACATAATCTTCGGCCGAACCACACATCCGAACTCATCGACCAATTGGATCGGTTGGTGTTTGCCGTCGTGAGCGATGCAGTTGCGGACCAACATATCAAACTTGTTCTCGTCATCCTTGATGGCCAACACCATAGTCATGGTCTGTCCAATCTTGACAATGCCGGCCACCTCACTGGCCCAGGGTCCCTTCCCCACCTGGATCTGCATCCAGCACTGGATATTATCGCCCAAGAAGTTGGCCGTCACGGCGTCCAGCATATCGACATTGAAAGGTCGAAAGGAGACGGCCTTTTCGTAGTAGTCATACCACGTACAGCGCAGTCGTCTCGCCTGATCCCATATCTCTTGGACCTGAGGGTCGTATTGAATGATAATCGTGTTCTCAATGAAGAGTCCGACGCCGGGAGAAGAGGTGGAAGCGGTGACCGCAGTGTTGCTGTTCTGCTCACTACTAGTCATTCCACAGCCGCCTAAATAGATCTCAAAGTTTGCCTGCAATTGACCGCTGCCTACACTCAACACACAATCAAAATAATGCTTAGATTTATGTCTTTAATTAGATTGCAATCAATGAAATCAATTGATGGCATACCTTGAGGTAAGTGCACGCACTTGGGGTCGCTGTCGGACATAAATTGGTTCAATTAGTTGGTTAATAGAGTTAGAGTAGGAATGAGTAGGAATGAGCTCTAATGAGGTTTATTACCTGTAGTGGCCTTTACTGAAGATGAGCCCGAAGAAGGGTCGGTCGAACTCTATGTTAACCTTCATCAGAGACTTCTCACATTTCACGTTAATTGCCTGAAGAGTTACAAAGTATTTGAACCACTTTTAGACATTGTTTCACTGCTTTCCTCTCAGCAACTCTTCAATGTTTTATAAGTTATATAAATATTTTTTATAGTAATTCTGTCTCGAAATTCTTTAAATGCTTTAATGTTTACTGATTTATTAGACTCACACTCAATAAAAAATATTAAATAATAGTTTGTGATATAACTGACACTTTTTTAGGTAAAATTTGAGAACAAATTAACCCCAATTCTTATAAAAATAATATCTGAGAACTTTTTAGCATACTTTCTATTTGAATAAAAATTATGTTAACTTTTGCCTCGAGTTTTGTAACTTAACGTACGGTTAACCAAAAAAATATTTAAAATTCTTATTTTAATGATTTTAAAAAACAAATCACTTATTCTGTAATAATTATGTTTTCTTAAAAGTTGTATTTAATAAACAAATGCTTTAATTTATTGAACTATAATTAAGAGAATTATATGGTTTTAGAGAAACTAAATGAATTTAGTAAATAATTTTCTTAGATATCACTGGAAATTAATTTTATGATTGAGTCACGATTCAAATGATGTTAAAAATACATGTTTAATAAAATGAATTTTTTGAGGCAATATGTTTCCAAATTATTTCTTATATTTTAATATTTTATACATTCCTTTCATTACTATTCAAAAGTCTTGGTTTGGATTAGATCTGCGAAAATAGTTTTATATTTATTCAAAACTATTCCGTACTGTATTTCAATGGCAAATAAACTCTATTAATCTAAAACAGGCTATACTTATAAGTTATAGAAGTTATTACAAGTAATTTAATAGACTATTCACAGGCATATAATTATTTATTTGATTATCACTACCAGACTGTATGACTGTATGGCACAGATACAGGTATAGCCTGTATGGCACAGGTATAGTCTATAGCTCTATATCTCGTTGGTTCGTGTATTGCATTCTAAGCACTCAATTATATGCAAAGCGAGTCAATGCCAGTTATAATCACAAACTGTAACCAAAACTGTAACAAAATAAGTATTTTATGC